TTTATACTATCGTTCTACAGTTCTTTTTTATGTTTTCTACAGTTCTTGCATAATGAGGCGAGAACTCTGGGACGCTTGTACTCGAACCTTTTAAAAATTGCTCAAATCAGATTATTGGACATTTGGACGGTCAACAGGATTCAAGTTAATTTAAATGTGTGGGGACTCCGATCAACATAACTGTCAAGTTAGCTAAAGAAAATCCGTTCAAAAATGAAAGGGGTATTTCATCGGACTCCAGTCTTAAAAGGAAAAATATGCATAACTGCTTAGCTTCACATACAATGTGTTTAGAGCATCTTTAATACTACAATGTGTGTGATTTATATGTGGTATGAGAAAGATAGATACAAATTACAAAAGAATACATTTATGACGTTTCTTTTTCCTTCTTTACAGGGTTTTATGTGTTTTTTGGGAAGTTTTTTCAACAATGTTCACATCTAAATATTGTGAACAAAAATGTATCAAATCAAAAACATATAAGACCCTTCAAATAAGGAGAAACATATATTATTTTTTGAAAATCAAATAACTAATTTATTCATATCAAATGATACCAAAGAAACTCGTAAATGAATAGTCCAAGACTACAATAGGATGAGACTTTGAACGTAAAAAATCTAATGAATCTTGCCGGATCGTTAACATGCAAAATGTAGTCTAGTCTAACACTCTAACAGTTTTGCTACATTTGCTACTTCAAATAAAAAGTATACAAATTAAAGATCTGGTCACCGGAAAGGAAGAATTGATTTGACCAGCAATGAACAAAGGAAACCCTACCGAGTTGAAATGATCTGAATCACTTATTTGACCAGCCACTGAAAAGGCGATCCAATTGAGCGCTTTCTTTTCCTCGGAGTGAGGCGTGGTTCAGGTGGAGGGTGAATAATTGAAACCTCAGAACAACAAAGTTGAAAAAGTTTTGTCAACCTTGAATAACGAAAACTCACCAGATCGAGAAAGACATATCACACGCTCACATGAAGCGGACAAAACTCTCGACTAAAGAAGACGTCAAACTGAAACCTTCAATAGTAGAAATTAAAGTTGAACGCAAGATTAGAAAAATCTTTAATTTAATACTTCATTGCCTAGAGAACATCTTCAATTTTCAAAACTCTTGCTGATCGAAGAAGAGAAGACTTGAAGAATAGATCTCGTGGGAGGTGGTAGATGGCTGCCTAGGGTTTCCCCTAGGGCCGGCTGTCTAGCACGTTCAAAAATATATATTCTATTCATTAATTTTTGTGTGTCTATCTCTCTTTTGCATTAGGATACTTTAGTTACCATTCTTCAGTCTTCTTTCTGAACTGCTTACCTATGCAAGCTTCTCATTTCTCCTTCTGTAATGGTTGATTCTACATTCTAATGTATAGAGATAAATAATTGTTGCTGAAATTAAAATACTAGCTAAATAAAATAGACCTATTTGGTTTTAAAACTGAATTAATAACAGAAAAGGTAAGTGTTTATAAAAGCATATGTTTTATTAGAAACAAAGTGAACTTTTTTATTATTAGAAACAATATAAACTTTGAATAATGAGAGGATAAATCTGATACAAGCATTTGATAAACGAAATAGTTAAACTGAAAGTTTGAAACGCTAATGCTATTACGGTTTCATCTCTTGATCGCAACAATTTTTCTATATGTGAATAAATTGTCTGAATTGATTAAATTCATGATTTTTTTATTGGGACTGTAACCCGTTTCATACTAAACCATACTAGACCAGACTAGATCAGACTAGACCAGACCAGATCAGACTTGAATAGTTATAAAAATTCAAAGAAACCAGACATTACCAAATCAGACCAGACTAGAACAGACCAAATCAGACCGGTTCAAAATGATTGTATAAACATAGTTTGAATAGATTGTTTGAGTTGCTAGTGTACACATGCACAAAAGTTTTACCATTTGAGTTGATTTAGCCCATAAAAATGGTAAAACAACTTGGGTCTGAAATGCTAAAAGCGAGCATTTGCACGGGCCAGTCTATTTGATGCAAACGGCTGCGATTAGGGATGGACCCGGGCCGGGCCGGTTCCGGTTCCGGGCCGGGCCCGGGCGGGCTTTTTTTCGGGTTACATGGGCCCGGAACCGGCCCGGGTTGATACCGGGTCCGGGCCTAACCGGGCCGGGCCGGGCCGGGCCCGGTTCAATGTTTTTTTTTTTTTTACTTTCTTGTTATCTCCCTACCCCCCCCCCTCACCCCCATGCCCCAAACCTCCCTAAAACACTCAGCCCTACCCTAGGAAAAGAAAAAAAATTGAAAAAAACCAAAAAAAAAAAAAAAATGAACCGGGCCCGGCCCGAACCGCCCGGGCCGGTTCAACAAAAAAAGGGCCCGGAACCGGCCCGCCCGACCCGCCAACACGGGCTAAAAGCCCGGAACCGGCCAACCGGGCCCGGTCCGGTCCGGGCCCGCACAGTAGCGGGCCGGTCCGGTTCCGGGCCGGTTCGGCCCGGCCCAGTCCATCCCTAGCTGCGATATTTGCTTCCCTATCAAGTTCCGGTTTACCGTTTATCGCCACCGTTTAATTTCTTGAAAAAGCTTTTGCTATACACAAAGTGTGTATAAGGGTTTTATTTTTTTTACCTTCTTTTCTTTCAAAAATGCTTTAGGTACACACTCCTCTTACACACTAATACACACTATAAATACTATTTTTCCATTTACCATTAACAACTAATTTTACCCCCCTTTTCTGTCCTCTCTCCTCCTACGACCTTTCCCTTCCCTTCCGTCAGCTTCTTTCTCTTTTCTCCCCTTTCTTCTCTCCCATTTCTTTCTCTTTTCTTCATTATAAAGAGCTCTCTCAATTCTTGGAGATTTGAATTGGCAAAAAATCTACGAGTGGCTACTATTCCAAATTCCAATTGTGAATTTGCTTTTCTTCTCCCAAAACCTTGTTCATATGAGGTATTTATTCCATTTTTTGTGCATTTAGGGTCACAAGGATTTCTGTTTATTCAGCTTTATATATATAATATTACCTTCGTCCCGGTGGACTTTGCCAAGTGCAAAGTAGGTGAGAAATAAGAATATTAAAAATTGTGTGGTTGAGATTTGTGCAGAGGAGAGAGAAATGTGCAGAACCACAAATTAGTTGCTTTAATAAGAAAGTGACAAATTTTTTTGGGACAACCAAAAAGAGAAATTTGGCAAAGTCTAATGGGACGGAGGGAGTATATGTTATAAACGTTTAATGCTTATTTACTTTGCTATATCCTTATAGATTTTTTTTGAAAATCAAATAACTTAATTATTATTGATAAGGGTAACCAGAAAGATAACAATCAAAAGCCAAAGCATTACCATCACAGCGTTCAATGCTACACTAGGGTGGGACAAAGAACAAAAAAAGCCATATAAAAGCTATTATGTTCGCTAACCCTGCAACTATGTAGACTCGTCCCGCAATTTGGCTGCTCGTGCTACTCGAAATAGGTCCGGTTTGACCAACCACCGAAAAGGATTTGTTAAACTTGCGGATTTTTCCAGCCACCAGTAAGGAGCCAAGTGCAGAAGTTGTCCCGGTTTCATCAGCCACCGGAAAGAAAGCAATCTATTCACTCCCATCTTCCTTGATCGGCGGTGGTTCAGGAGGGGGGCGATCGGCCTCTATATTGATACAGAAGAAATCTTGATTCATGATCGATAGAGAAGTCAATACACATCTCTTACTAACACCCAAGAACACCCGACCGATGATGGCGAGGAATATAAATCTGGCGAGCGACACTTCGCCACCGAAAATAATATCTCTAGACAACGCTAGGAAACAGATGTATACATAGAACGGAAAATATTGATCTAACGAAACTTTTTCCATGATTGGGATCAAAAGAAAATTGAACAAAGAGAGGAAAATGAGATGAGGCGGCTAGGGTTTCCTCTTCGCCGCTCCTCTCTCTAACCTGCTATATCCTTATAGATTTGTGATGTAAATATATAAATTTTTGTTCAACTATTCTATTTCGCTTTTATGTTCATAAGGTGTTTGTTGAAATGTTTCAATGATTTTATTTATCCATATACACAATTTAGTGAGTTCATGCTACTTTTTTGCTAATATGTTTTTATGCTTGATGGATTATAAATGTTATTTTCTATTGGGTAAACTAACTAAAAACGCGCAAATAAGCCCTTTTATAGGAAGCTCTGTCCGGTCTTTGCCATTTGGGGCGGTTCCAGGTAGAGTTTTTTTATGAATTTTTTTTTGAGCATCTTCTTCACCAAGTCTAGTTTACTCATACCAAATTTTAGCTAAAATATTAACCGGGAAGGCAACCAAATGATTTTCTGAATTATACTGCGCTGTTTAACTGCTCAGTTATCTTCAAACATTTATTTGACTGCCTTTCCAGTTGAACTTTTAGCTGAAATTTGGTATGGGTAAACTAGACTTAATGAAGAAGTTGCTAAAAAAAATTCATCAAAATATTCCACCGGAAACCGCCTCAAATGGCGACGGCCGGACAAAGCTTCCTATAAAAGGCTTATTTGCACTTTTTCGGTAAGTTCGGGGGCTTATTTGCCCCTTTTCTCTTTTCTATTTTTAAACTTTAAAATGGGTTTAAGTGTAGTTTAAGTTGTTTGACTGTTTTATGATACTTTGTAAGTTTGCCTAATTTGTTTTTACAATTTAATTTTGTTTGACTAATTTGTTATTATAATTTGTTTTTACTTTGTAAAAAAAAGGATGACACCCCATCCCTGAGGGGCCCCCAACACCGACTGGACGACACGATGGGAGGATGTAAATTGGACTATAATCACAATCTGATAGATAGAGAGTGGGACTCTGTCCCCGGTACTTGCAGAAGACCTACACATTTTTTAGCATAGTAACCCCTCATCGCAGTTGCTGGGATTCGAACCCGAGACCTAACCTTGTGGCACTCTCTCGCTACCAGTTGAGCTACGCCCACCGGGAAGTTTTTACTTTGTAAAGCGATAGGTGTTGAAGAATATTTGATTTGGTAATATGGCACCCCATTTTTCTAGTTAGCAATTGAGAAAACAACATGTTATAAGACTCCAATTGTTGTAACTGGTTTTCCTTGATGGATGATGCCAACAACTACTGGATTGTTAATACAGTTTTGGGTTGATCTGTAAAGCAAGGTGATTCACTATTATTTATGCTGTTCTGAACCGGAGTTTTCACTTTTCAGGCGCTCCCCAATTGTTCCTTTTGCATTAGGATACTCCTAGCTACCATCCGCTCCCCAAAGGTATCGATGCTACAGAGATGGCTCTGCACAATTTTAGTAAACTCTAACCCTTACCGGAAATTCACTATTCCTTATGCTGTTCTGAACCGGAGTTTTCAGGCGCCAACTCCGGCGATTCGCCGCCTCATTTCTTCAACTCCGCGCATGAGTTACGCCAGAAGATCGGAAGCGGTTCCTATTCCTTCGCCCCTCACAGCCGATAAGAACGAGGTCTATCGGGCACTCGAGGCCGCGCTAGGTTCCCCATTCAGTCCTTCTCCAATAGCTCCGAACCCTAACCCTCTAATCATCGTGATCAGCGGGCCCAGTGGCGTCGGCAAAGATGCAGTGATTAAACGTCTGCGAGAAGTCAGAGAAAACATCCATTTCGTCGTCACGGCCACGAGCCGTCAGAAACGGGCCGGCGAGGTTGACGGTAAGGATTACTACTTCGTGAGCAAAGATGAATTTCTATCCATGATTGCGAAAAACGAGCTTTTGGAGTATGCTTTGGTTTATGGAGATTTTAAGGGTATTCCTAAACAACAAATTAGGGATTATTTGGGGAAAGGTTGTGATATTGTGCTGAGAGTAGATATACAAGGAGCGGCAACTTTGAGGAAGATTCTGGGGAATGGGGCAGTGTTTGTGTTCTTAGTTGCAGAGAGTGAGGAAGCATTGGTAAAGAGATTGATCGAGAGGAAGACCGAGACTAAGGAGACTTTGCTGGTGCGGGTTGCAACGGCTAGGGAGGAGGTTAGGCATATGAGGAGCTTTGATTATGTTATTGTGAATAGAGAGGGAGAGTTGGATGGTGCTGTAAAATTGGTGGAGGCCATCATTGATGCAGAGAAGGCCAAAGTTCTTCAGAGGAAGGCCACCATCTAGTAACAAAATACTCACTTTCTCCATGGAAACTGATACGATCTGCTTGTTGTGCTTCAACTTTTTCTGATTTAGTTTTGCTCACAATGCATTTTAGTTTTTCTGTAATCAATATCTGTTTGCATACATGGTTTTGAACAGAGACAAAGCAGGTGAAGTTTTTGGTGTAGCTTTACTTTAAATGTTGTCATGATTGCACAATTAGTGTTACAATGGCATAATGTGTATTGCTTACTCATGTTCAGCTGTGGAGAGTGACTTTAGTATCACAATGGCATAATGTGTATTGCTTACTCATGTTCGGCTGTAGAGAGTGAGTTTAGTAGCAGTATGAAATTTTGATGATTACTTTTTCTTTTGATGAGATCCAACTGAATTTAAAAATGAAAAACGCAACAGTAGGGTGTTGGATTTCTGGCGGATGGAACTTCTGTTGAATTGAAACTATATTCATCACTGTAAGGTGCTTAGAAGAACAAGAAATTGCGGTAAATAGGTGTAAACACGTATGTGAATTCTAAAATAGGACTACTATGCTTTGATCGCAGGGGTGGACTCGAGCCGGTTCGGGCCTGGGCCCGGCCGGGCCTCGGTTCATGAAAGGGGAGGCCCGGAACCGGCCCGGGTAACCCCCGGGTCCGGTTCGGGCCGGGCCTGGTCTCGGTTCTACTTAATTTTTTTTTTTGGCTTTTCCTAATTAACCCTCCCCCCTCACCCCCAAACCACCTCAAATGGCCCAAAATACCCAGCCCAACCCAAAAACTTAAAAAAATTAAAAAAAAAAAGAAAAAAAAAATAAATAGGCCCGGACCGGGCCCGAACCGGCCGGGCCGGTTCACCTTTTCAAGGGCCCGAGCCCGGCCCGGAACCCTAGCGGGTCGGGCCTACTCGGACCGGTCCCTGGCCGGCGGTTCGGGCCGGTTCAAACAGTGACCGGGCTGGACCGGTTCCGGGCCGGGCCGCCCGGCCCGAGTCCACTCCTATTTGATCGTTAAATAAATATGAATAATTATTGTTTTGTATTACCATATTTTAAATAATCGTTTGTGAAAATTTTATTTTAAGAATGTGCATTGCATTATTATTTTTAATCATTTGAAGGCTTCGTTTCCGAAGAATGACTTTCAGCTTCGGGTTATTCCTTACATAAATAATGAAAATATAGTAAACTAGTATTTGTACCGGTGCCGTGCACGGGATAAAGACTATGTTGGGATATCAGCGGGTTGAGCAAAAACTTTATGTTTTTTACATTGTAAGTATTGATAATATCGGCGTGTTGGGCTTGAAACGCCGGTTAATAAACAACCCCAAAATGAATTTGATTTTTAGTTATACTAACAAAAAATCACTTATTTAGTCGATTATAACAATGATTTGTAATGCATATTCTACTGTAGGTATACGTCTCCTATACCCATGGTAATTGACTATTGGTATAAAATCCCGTTATATGACATTTTGTTTGTAGTATCTTATTTCTCTACTAATTATCCAAACATGTTTTCAGTCTATATTTTTCAATGAAAAGCGAATTTTTTTATGACTCAGTTACATCCAAATGAAAAGTTCATTTCAACTATCTTTACGTAAAAAAAAATGAATGCTCAATGTCTAGCTACTTTTAAGAAAATATCCTTAATAAGAAAGGATATTTTCTTATAAAAAAAAATTGATTCCAATTGAAAATATCCTTAATAAGAAAGGTGAACATAAATTTGAGATATCATTAAGAATATTGTGTATGTAACAAATTTTAACACTTGCAGTCTTGCTATTTTAATGTAACCTACTTTAACTTATGATGTTTCACTCTTCTTCCCACTTTTAGGAATGATTTGGGGTTGCTAAAAGGATTTTTGTTTTCATATATTTCACTTTCATTTTCGTTTATTACTTGTAGTTATTAGATTGAATTAAACAATTTTTAAAGGGTTATTTTTTCCTACTCATATGACTATGCGTCTATGCCGTCCTCCCATTTCACCTTCTACATCATTACAGATCAGAGTACTAATTCTTTTTGTTCACTTTATTTACTACAACCCTTCCATCTTATTTAGTATTTTTTGTTTCCTTTTTCCTTTACTTTGAAATTCTCATTTCATTTACGCATTCTTATACGAAATCAAATTGGAATCTTTACGCCCTTATTTAAAGGGATTGTGTCAATTTTTGAGATCGGGTTCGCCATTACACACAGAATGGATATCTTTGTCGTTGATTTTTGGGTTTTAAGTCGGGCGGTCGTTGATAGTTATTCTATGGAAATACGATCTGTCATTTACCAAAGTTGCAATGGTCTCAGGTTGATATATTGGAGGTATAATAAGGTTGTATTATTATTTGACTTTGTTAGTGGTGAGTATGGATATATAGATTGTTGATCTAATTCGAATATTAAATTTTGTTAATAGTTCTACTATTGGATTTTCAATTTTGTTTCGTATAAGAGTTTTAGGTTTCATATTTTCATGGCAACGGTACGCAAATGAAAAATGACTTTAAAAACATTAATTCGGGTTATAATGTTATTGTTTTAACGTACATCAATTATATGTTCAATTATAATGTGATATTATCCAATAATTCTACATCGTGTGCACATGTTTTGAGAAAGTTGGTACTTGAATTCATACTAATAAAACATCAAAGATTTATGTCGCAATATATGTTCGGGCATTCCATGTTTGGGGTGAGTAATATTTGTTTCAATTTTTGGATATTTGATATGGAGGATGGATATATTCATATATCTATGGATTAAAATATGGCATTATATTCTATATTTCTAATCACGATAATTGAATATATGAAAGTGGAATATATAAGAATAAAATCTTTTAACCACTCCAAATCATTTCAATAAAACTGTTTACAAATTATCTAATAACTTTCAAATCATTCCTAAAATTGGATAAAGAGTGGAACATGATAAAGTGAAAGTAGGTAAAATTTAAATAGCAAGACTACATGTGTTAAAATTTGAAAAATTCACATTTTCCTAAATGCCATCTCAAATTTATGTTCAACTTTCTAATTAAGGATATATTCATTGTGATGTCACAAAATTATACGAAGTATATTCTAACCTCTTTTCGTAAAGAAATAGGTTCGAAGGACCAATTGGCAAAATTTTAAAACCTAGAAGGCCTAATATTTGCAATAAAATTGACTACACCCATTTTTAAATTCTTAAATTACAAAAATGCGTGGTTAGTCTTGAAAAAAACAGTAAATCACATATGAAATTTAATGGATAAAAATAGGCATTGAGCATTTTTGGAGGGTTCGTTTCAACTCAGAGTTATAAAAAATTTCTCGTTTCATTGGAAAATATAGACCAAATACATGTTATAATTAATTAAAAATAAGATATACTCAATAAATATGAATATTCATTATAAACCAATGTTATAATCAATTAAGTAAAACGAAAATCTAAATTATTTTATCCGGAGCACGGCACGATCAATTTTTTTTAATTAAGGGTGTCATGCTTTTTTTCCCAGAATAGGAGTAATTAGTTAAAAATACTCGGATGTATTTTGTACTTAAGAATTGTTATTTCGTTAATTTAGAATTAAGCTACTTGAAATTCTACATTACAATGGAAATCTTTTTGAATGGCTTAATGGGAGATGGGACCCCGACCAAAATAAAAACTTCACTGGTCATTTGCATACCTATTTTTTCTTGGGAACAAAGTCAAATAGATCATTTTGATGTCTAAAATATACCATTTAAGTACATGTACTAAAAAATTATATAAATGTTTTTTATTTAAAAAATCAATCAATTTGGCTTTTTAACTGGTTTTAACCTGTAGAAGTAGGGTTTTTACATTAAAAACTTTAAAAATGTCAAAGTCTATATTTTTGCATTAAGAACTGTGTTTATATTCTGCATCTTTTTTAGAGTTATTCCATTTTAATTTTATATTTTTATAATTTTACTTTATTTTTTATTTTCTAATTTTAGATTTTTTATTTATTTTAACATGTTAAAAATATTTATATATTTTTGAACTCATACTGATGTTATATTATGATTACATTAGTTTTCAAATTTATATGGAATTTTGTACGATTAATCAATTGTTTTATTTATTTTTTTTAAATGACCTTCAATAGCAGGTTACAATGACTTGATTGATGATGGTTTTAAAGTAAATACATTCATATGATACTTCTTTGAAAAAATTGAAAACAATAATCTCAACAATTGTTAGTTTATTTACAATAATCCCAACTATTAATTATTTCTATATAATCCGAACTATGTGTCTTGTCCGCCAATAATGGTTCATGACTGGGTATAACATGTTATACCAGGTCACTATTAATCAGAATTATGCTTGTTCTTCTTTTAAATATCCCAATTATCAACATTTTTTTTATATAATACACAAAAAAATGTTACTACGATTTCAAAATTAGGATTTTTTACAATTTAAAATTTATCTAAATTTAAAAATGTACCGCAGTTTAAAAATTAAAATCATTATTTTATATTTTGTGTTTTTCTAAAATAAAATATTTATGTTTTTTATATATATTATTTTTGGTTTCTTTTGCATATTCATGATTTTGTATGGATTTTAACTAATTTTAAAATTATTCAATATTTTAATTTTAAGTATTTAGAAAAAATATTATCATTTTTTTCACTTTCTTAGTTTTAAAATTGTAGATCTTCATTTATTAACTTTGAATTTGTACTTTTGATTTTCACTCGTTTTTCCTCTAATTTTTTTATATTGGCCTATTTACTCCCTATATTTATAATTTTTATTTTCTGTATATATTAATAACATATTAAATAATATAAAATTTTAATTTTGAAATTTATATAATTTTTCCATATTTTATATTTATGTATTCTTTAATTTCATAAACTACCTAAGAAGTTTTTTTGAAGAAACCTAAGAAATTAATTATAGTAAAAATAATATGTATAATCAATTTTAACCACTTTTATGTATTTATGCAAATTTTATTTTAATTTTTAGGGCCCAATAAAAGTTGACAGATCAGATTGTTACACTCAGATACTTCTTTTGTAATTGACTAAACACGGTGTCGGGCACGTGAGACCATTATAAGCACAAGGTCGTTAATGTTCGAATTATTCTGAGATAATCTATAATTGGGACTATATATAATGAGTCAACATGTAATAATTGAGATTATTGTTATCAATTTTCCTAGTTTTTAATATAATCAATTAAGTAATGAATTCAATATAATAGAATGGTCTATTTGACCTTTTTGTCTTATTTTCTTTGATCGACG